GGGGGGGGGGGGGGGGCCACAACGGGAGAGGAAGGTCTTGGCGGCGCGGACTGCTTTGCTGCCATCGCTTGGGCAGGTGACGACGGAAGCAAATTGCTTTGCCCTTCTCCCCCCTCCACGGCCACCCCCTCCTCCGTGAACCGAACATGCCGGGCCCCCGACCCCGACGGCCATCGCCGCCTTGCCCCGAAAGGTTCGCTGGGAAAAAAGCGCATGCTGCTCGGCTCAGAGCTGGACTTTGTTGAGCCGGGCGGTGCCTCTGACGTAGAAGCCTTTTTCCGTTTTCCGCTTGACTCCGCCGTGAGGGGCGCTCTCTGCCCATGCGCAGGGTCGACAGGCACCCCCGCTCCAGTCAAAAGCACCTTGGATGCACACGGTCTGAGCTCTTTCGGTGCTATCGGAAGTGAAGGGACGGTGGCCCGTGAAGGCCGCAGGGGCGTGTCTGAGGAGGACGAGGTCTCTGACATAGGCACACCTTGTCGACGGACCGTGATCGTGTCCCCGTCCCGGATCACGTCCATACTTTGCGAGGGAGGCAAGTGAAAGCCGTCGATGCTCAGAGCGACCGACACAGTGGGGCCGCAGGGTCGCAGGGAGGACATGGAGGGGGAGGGGGAAGGTGAAGCTAGGTATGTACAAGCGAGGTATTCCGAAAAGTCCGCCACCATTTCCAGGGGTGGCGGCAGAAGGATCACAAGTTTGGCCGCCTCGTCGCCGTCCGTCAGGAAAGACCGTAAAGACGGGTGGAAGAAGAGCTTCACCCTCCGCGTGGCAGGGAGGAGACGTGCGAGGACCGGGTCCTCACTTTCCTGAGGAGAGAGCGGCTGTGGAGGAAGGGGCTCAGGCTCCGCCCTGGGGGGGGAGCAGGGCGGTTCTCGCTCTCTTCTCTTCTTGGACAGGGCGCGTCCCATTTCCCTCCCTACAACGTGCGGCTAAGTATGTTAAATGAGGAAGAACCTTTTTTTTCCCCTTTGTATCTAACAGCCACTCTGATGGTCAGCTGCCCTTCAAATCGTCGCCGAGGCTCGAACTTGCCGGGCTGTCAGGTGGAGTCGCGCGCACAGAGTACAGCCTCTTTACAGCTCAGGTAGCTCTATAATACTTTTAAAGATGCTCTCGAAAAGATGAAGCTATTGAAGGTGGTTATCGGGATTGAAAGGGTTGCTTGCGACGAGTCGGCCAACACACAATACAGCTCCAACCTCCCCTCCCTTCCGCCCGAACCACTCCAGGAATCCAAGGGGCTTTAACCCTGCCCTGCTTTCGACGGCCATGCATTCTAAGCCAATTCTCTCAAACAATAGTATCAATGACACAGCGGCAGTGTCCAAGACCGAATGGATCGAGCATCACTTCCATAATCGTCCAGTACGCCGGAGCTTTGCCTGCCTCTGGGAACAAACGTTTTACGATCCCCTGACAGCTTTTCCCTTCCCCCCTTGGGCGTCCTTAGCGTTGCTCTTCACCGTCCTTATTTTCATTGTCATCGGTTCAGCGTCCATTCCAGATAGAACTGATGGTGAAGGCGTCTTGAAGAAGCCACAAGAAGAGCCAAAATTGCGGGCGCAACGCCGGCGCCAGAATTGGAGGCCGTGGATAGGCCTGAAAATCGTCTGGTTACGGGCTCTTCCCCTGTACAGGTAAGGCAGGTAGTCGTACATATTAAGCTATTCTGTCCAAGTGAATGACCTTCGGGGCTCAAACTGCCCGTCTCCCCCTTCATGCAGCATCGTCTTCGCCTACGTGGCATCTGTCGCCACTCAGACGGCAGTAGAGGCCGGCTTTCTCCGGCTCCCCGCTAATATCACGGAGGCAGACTGGTTTGAGAACTGCGTCCGATTAATCAAGGTGTTGCGAACTTGGATCAAGGTCACAAATTTGAGCGTGGTGCTTTTCTCTCTCGTTTTTAGCGAGACGGCTTTGACGCACATCTTGCAAGCCTTAAATCAAACGAGGGCAGATGGACAGACCGTGGAAATAAGAGGCGTAGCGGTAGCAATAGTGACTGCCGGTCAATTGATCTTGTGGGGTGCTAGCTACGCCGCCGTCGGTCTTTCGGCTCTCTTACTCTTTGCAAGTATGTTCATATTTCTGGTGGCGCAGCTGCCGCTCGTGATATATTCCAACGCGTTCTACTCACGCTTGCAGGCCACGTTCCTGGGGCGATATCTCAATGGCGAAATTGAAAAGTTCTTCCGCGATCACGAATTTCTACGTGTTGCTGATGATTTCAAGTCTTTGGTGCTGCCTTTTACCGCCCTCAGCTTCTCCATGCAGATCAATTTGCTCCTGTGTTCACACCACCTGGTGCTAGAGACACGCCGGCGTCTGCTTCGCTACAGCTTATTGCATAAAATTGACTTGCAGCTGCACCTCTCGCAGCTTTGGGGGATATCAAAACTCTCGAAAGGCAGTGGGGAGATAGAGCAGCAAGAGCAACGGCCAGAGAACATGAGGGAAGGAGCAGACAAAGGAAGGGCGCCGATCGGGGCACTCGTCCAGAATAAATTGCACTCCTCCCTCATGGCGGCGAAAGTGAAACGGCGAAATCGTCGCAACACAGGCCAGGGAGCGCCGGGCAAGAGCTTGAACATCCTTTGAGTCCTTTGAGGGGGAAAGATAGTATGCGTTGGGAGGCTCTTTCCCCACGAAAAGTACAGACCCGCAGGAATTTTGTAAATATCGGGATAAGGATGATTGAGTTGTATGCAAAAATCAACAACATTCAGTCAGCAAGGGGCTGAAACGGTGAAGTGAGAGCGTCATCTGACCGGTGATATCCTGATGCCTGGAAAGAATGTTTCATAAGAGGACTTGGCAGGCTCCAATTTCGATCTTGCTTTTCAACAGAGCATCTTATTCACACTTGACATTTGCCTGTCGACAATTCGTGTCTGTATATCCTCTCAGAATTCCACCGTCTTTCCCTTTATCCTAGAGTCTCACAGGAACCGCCAAAGGCCGGCAGAGTACCATGTCCCATCAAACAAGCTTCCATCGCCACTCAGGGGCAAGCCACCATCCCTTCTTCCCCTGCCTGACTCCTCTTTCGGGACCTTAAAAGATTTTCACAAAATTTACTTCCTTAAAAGTAAAAATTGCCTCCCGGAGGGCCCGGCGGCGGGAGATGGTCGGGGTCGGGGTCCCGAAAGGCCCGCCCCCGTCCCCTTGGATCGTTCGGATCGACCGGTCCGCGCGCTGGAGGGCCGCCTCGGTTGGGTGGAATCACTGGTCCATAGGGATCGAATCGAGGCTGTGGCATCCCTA